ATGAGCAGAACAGTCTAACAGAAAAACCTCCTCTGGTTTCCACCCCTAGGAGGTTCCCTTCCTCTCCAAGCGAGTTGCTCCAAAGGCTCTGCTCAGCGAGCACCCACTGACTCCCACTGAGGGAGATCCAGTGCCTGCCAAATAGCCAGGAGGTGCGGGGGAGCAGGCCCGGAGCAGCTGCTGGGACAGAGTATCCAGGACTAACAGAGTCAGGGCTGAGGGCAGGAAGAGGCAAAGGAAAGAAGGCACAGCTATGAGCCACACACTGTGCATTATGCAACCATTCCTAATATTTCCATGGTAACCCTCAGTGGGTCAACTCATAGTGTTAACTCATAGTGGTTAACACTAATATAACTTATGAATTCCCCCAATAAGTGATTCCCCCAATAAGTCTACCTGGCACCTTATATAGTTATTCCAATATCATTGACTATATTCTCTATGCTGTACTTTACATCCCTGTGACTACTTTGGAACTGCCAGTTTTTTTTTCCCTTTCTCTCTTAGTCTTTGAACACATCCTGTATTATCCTTAGACTTGCCTTTTGTTCCTTCACTCCTTACTCTATCTTGATTGCAATTCCGCCCCTCATCTGAAGACCATCTCAATGCCACCTCCTGAAATGAGGCCTTTGCTGGTTGCCATAGCGAGAAATGATATCTTGATTCTCTAATGTCTCTTATGGCTCTTTTTACATGAAACTTACAGTATAGTTACTCACATTTCTCCTTAATTTGATTGCAACCCCTTTAAAAGCAGAGGCTGCGTCTTATCCTTCTAACTTTCCTGGCGTTCAGTAGGTGCTTGGCAAAAAGCCTGTAGAATAAGTGAGTAAATGAACACCTTGCATGAGTTTGTGACAAATTAACCATTTCTTCTTAGGGAGGAGAAAAGGGAAAGGGGACGGTGGAGACCTGGTAGTTCAGACTAAAGCTGATTTTATTTAGGCCAAAAATTTTACCCAGGGTCACAACTCAATAAAAAGACAAACAACCCAATTTTTAAAGTGGGTAAAATAGCTGAACAGACACTTAACAAAAGAAAATATACAAATGACTAATAAGTGCAGGAAAAGATGCTCAACATCATTAACAATCAGGGAAACACAAAGTAAAGCCACAGTATGATACCGCTTCATACCCGTTAATGGCTAGAATCAAAAAGATTGACAAAGAAATGAAAGAGTTGGCCAGCCTGCAACTCCCATACCTCACTGGTACAAACGGAAAACAGGACAACCATCCTGGAAAAGTTTGGCAGTATTTCTGATAACGTTAAATACACATTTATCCTGTGACCTGATCATTTTTCTCTTAGAGTCTTATACTAGATAAGATATGTACGCATCTGTGAAACAGTGGGCATAAGGGAACTTTCTGGGTCATGAAAGTGTTCTAAGCCTCGACAGGCACGGGGTAACATAGTTTTGCTAAAACTTATCAGACTGTACACTTGAAAACTCTGTGTGTTGTTGTATATAAATTATACCTCAATAAAATGAGTGATCTAGAAACTCACGTATTCAAACACAGCTGTGGACTTTGGGAATAGCCAAAAGAACTCGGTTACAATTTTTCAGTCATCTAACAGTGTGATCTTGTGACAATCATTAAGCATCAGAAAGAAAATAGAAGACTTATTGTTTTCTGTGAACCAAGTTGGCAGTGCCATGACCCTTAGATTGTCAAAAAATTAGTTTGATTACCTAAAAGAACAAAATTTAATTTTGAAGTTTATTTTCATTGATACATATAATATAAACAAGGGTATTGTACAGAGATTTCCTCTTCTTAGGAGATGCTAATAATAGTAAGGGGGACTGTAACAATATAGTCATGTCCGACAGTAAGTTAGTGTTTCTCTGGGTGGGTTACATAATTCAGGCCGTAGAGAACTCTGATTATTATAGAAGGCATTACATTTCACTGTGTTCTTTCCATTGGGATTATAAACACCGAGAGCTTCTCTTTCAAAATAAGATGAAAAGAAAAGAAGATAATAAAGAGTGGAAAGTATAAAAATAGAAAATGAGGTTGCATATCTTGATTAAAAATCAGTAAATAAAATGTCATTAAATGAAATTAAAAAGGCTTATTTTAAAAATAGCCAAGTTTGGAGAAAAGACCTCACTTTAGATGTGGCACCTATTTAAAATTAGATTCTTTTTTGAGAAATTACGCTGCAATAAGGTGGTAAACTAAGTGGGCAAGTTGGTTTTTGCCAACTGTTAGAGACAACTGTGTTTTTTCATAAATAGCTTTATAAGGCAGAAATATATATGTCATTCAATTCTCTTTTTAGATGGAATTTAAGCTGGTCCCAGTTTGGCTTTTACATCAAATTACAATCAGACCATGGCTTTTTGATGTCCAGTTACAATTTATTAAAATTTATTGAGTACATGCTGTCTTTTCTTTTGAAGTGGGGGAGAAATTACAAAAATATATGACATAGCACATTTCCTCTAGAATCTTAAAATCTAGTTAGGAGGAGAATATATGTAGGAAATAAAGTAATGAAAATTTTAACAAACGTTCACGGTAAGGATTAAAGTGATGTCAGTGCATGAGTAGTTAACAAATGCATTTTAAGACAACTCTGGGTTCACCTTTGTTCATTTCTCACTTTCCTCCTCTTGGCCTCTCAGAGGCTGCCAGCTCCATTGCCTTCTCTTCCTATGCTTGTGGCTTTCTTTTTACATTTAATTTTTATTTCTATTAAAATTATGCATGGACCGATTTTTTTTAAAGTTGCACTGGAGGCTTGATAGCACATATAGCTTGCCTCCTGCACCCTCTCTCCTTGCATTCTGCTTTTTAAAGAAGCAACCACTTTAAACTGATTGCTATTTTTCCATAATTTTAAATATGTCTTGATTCATTGGTTCTTGATCCACCCACTAACTCCCTACTATGGATAATGAGGGCTTAGTTCTTATCATCCTGCACACACCTACCTGTTACCCCCTCTACTCTCCTAAAATAGTTTGAGGGCATATTTGGTTAGACCCACATTCAGTACTTTAGTTATTATAATACAACTCTGCGTATTATAATTTGATTTCCTTTCTTGTAAACTTTTTTGTTTCTTCATGAGATGTCTCTATTTTTTTTATTAACCTCTCTTGGTTTGAGTAGCCCTCTGGCTTAGTCTTGCCCCCTGCTCCTAAGTTGCATAAAAAAACTTTTCTCAAACCAGTTTTTCAAATCTTTGAAAAGATTGACAGATATGAAAATTAGTCAGATACTCCATCAATCCTTTTTATTTCTAGAACTTTCTCTTGGTGCCCTCCATCCTTTAGCTCTGGTATAGATGCCTTAGTTTCAAGATTCCCAGGACCTTCCATTTGGGTCCTCCTGGGAATTATATCTGTTTCTCTCTTGTGTTGATTACTGCTTCTGAATTCCTCACTTTTCTCTTTCTTGCTGGGATGGAGCGGGACCAAGAGGGAGGGCAAGGGGAGATCTGGAGACTTTTGTTCTCCAATCTAGTGCTACTTAAAGTGTGGTGCCCTTTGGCTAACTGCTTCGTACAAGTCCTTGGTAAGGTGGGAAGCTCATACTGGAGTGTAAGCCAACTACTTCACTGAGCACACAGCTCAGTCTGAGCAACTTCATTCTCATGGGAAGACTTACGTACAGGTGAACATTTAATTTCTGATTTTAACAAAACCGTTTTTATAAGGGACATTCACCATTTTCATCAGAAAAGTACATAAATGGAAAAGTTTCCAAATACCTATTTCTAAAGGCTCTTTCCAAGTCACAGATTTCTTTAGAAAAGCAACAATTTTCCTCATTCATTGGTGAACTATCACTTTTATCTTGAAGTACAAATGTCTTTGAAAAATATCTTTCATGTTAAAGAAAATCACAGAGAGGGTCAACTCATTTTTTCCACTTGTCTTTTGTAAAAGGAAAAAAACCCCACTATTTTAAAGAAGTTGCCATGAATTACAATGAATCTCCATGTGAAAGAGTAATTTTTCAGGGTCACTCTGCCCTCTTACACGGAGCCTACATATAAGAGAATAAGGCAATATACCCAAGTAAGTGGGTGTGCTTCATCCAAAAGTAGAGTAGAATCGTTAACAGTGAGAATGAGGGTAAGTTCTTGAGCTGGATTACCCACTGCTTCCTTGCGATGCATCCATTCCCCACCTAACAGGTAAGTGATAGTGGTCATCAATATATAAAATATTAGTAAAGCATAATTTGTTCTTATTTTCAAAGGCATAAATATACATAGAGCCTCTAATATTTCCTTTTGCCTCTACTGGATTGTCTCGTGCTTCTCCTGGAATGCTGTGTTCCAGTCTGGCAAGGAGTTGGCTGAGATGCTCAATGATGAGATTCTAAACTAAGGTCAAACCAAGGGGATGAGAACATGGCACTGATAGAAAGGCTGGAGGGAGATCGAAATGACAGAACTTGATCACCAATTGGATGTGGAGGTGTTCCTCAGAGCAAATGCACAGATAGATACTTCTTTCTGTGCTGTTTTAAAAAAGGTTTATACCCCATCTTCCCCAGTGATCATAAGTTCTTCCAGATATAAATACAACTATCATTTATACTCTTCCCTCTTTGTGCCAGGCATTGTTCATAGAAGTTTTCTGTGCAAACTAAAGTGCTCTCCACCTTTTTCTAGACCCCATGTCCTAGAATTTTGCAAATAGCAGCTGTTCAGAATGTCTGTTTTTTTCTACCAGAGAGCCTCCTTGAACGTCCACACCAAAATGGGTGCCTGATCGGGCATGAGGGTGATATGGTGGGGGACCGGGCCTCCTGAGTCTCAAAGAACAAGGACTTTCTTCCACCAGTAGCCTGTATAGTGGGCAGAAAAATCCTATCAGAAATCTTTATCTAACCCAACCCAACCAATATTCCATCCCATGAACATCAGCTGCTCCCCTTAATGCCTTCTTTTTCTCCCATCCAGAAAAAGAAGGTAAAAGAAAAATGATTCTACATATTGTAATGTTTGTCTTACTCACAGCAAGGTTGGTCCACTGTATGCTCCTCCAAATGCATCTTTGTCAATAACCGTCAGGTATTTATTCTTGTTCAGGTAACTAGAGGGAGAGAGAGAGAAAATAGATTAGGTGAGGTAAAGCAAATGGATAGAAAGACCAAAATAAATTGTGAGCGTGGTCCCTTGTAGCTATTAACTGGTTTTTAAGAACTTGGAAATTTAAGAATTACCTTCTATGGCTTAAGCACTCAAAAATTCTAGATTTTAATTGTTTATACACATTGATTATGGCAGAAGTCTTTCAAAGTGAGCATGTTTATCATTCTGTTTGTATATCTAGATTTTACACAAGTTGCCTGATCCCCTTTTTATGCAGCCGGTGGCAACTGTGTTTTTCAGTCCTCTTCATCACCAAGTGATTTAAACTTTTTCTCAATATAGTTCAATATTCCCATTTCATTTCCCCCCTTTTTATTGAGTTTATTGGGAGACACTGGTTAACAAACTTATAGGTGCACACTTATAGGTGACTAGGTTTCAGGTGCACAATTCCATAACATGCGGACGCCGTGTTGTGTGTTCACCACCCCCAGTCAAAAGATGGGGTTCAGTAGGAATGGAAGGAAGGTGGCGAGTGGTGATGCGGATTGTCAGGGAGTCGGATCTTTCCTCTATGGCAGGGCTACCAGATTTAGCAAATAAAAATACAGCCCAGAAGAACAATGAATGCATTTTTAGTATAAGCATTCCCTATGCAATTTTTGAAAGTCATGTGAAAAGTTATTCGTTGCTTACCTGAAATGCAAATTTAATTGGGTAACTTGTATTTTCTTTAACAATCCCATTTTGGGAGGTTAGTTAATGCAGTTCAGATCACAGAGGACACCTTTCAGAGAAGAGGTTTGATGGACACATTGATCTTTCTGTTTTGAAAATGCATTGGGCATTTGAGGGTAAAATAGTTTTGAAGGAATTTAAGTCACAAAGTGTGTTTGAAACACAAAGTTCCCTTGAAATGGATAAAAGCTTACAAGGATTTTAAAACTAGCTTTTTCCCCCTAGGTTTTTTTTTTAGAGGACAAATTGTCTGAAAAGAAACAAAGTATATATGTGTGTGTGTGTGTGTGTGTGTGTGTGTGTGTGTGTATATATCTCCTTGTCATAAGTGATCTAAATTTACACGCATTTAGGATAACTTGCCCCATAGCCCAGTGAACTGAAGAGTTAGTGAGTGGTCTCCTATCAATGCAAAATGAATTCATCAGAGGCCCTCAGGGGGTCTGCCTCGATTCGGATAATGCTACCATCATTCTGTTTATGGTGTTTGCTCTTCATGATGAAACATTTTCAAGGATGATGGCTAATAATAATAGTGTGATAGGAGGACTTTCGGTCAAGAGGATCCCTTTCCAGAGTCCTCACAGACACGCTTCTTGGTTAGTTGGTTCTACCTCTTTTTGTGGACTCAGAGTTTTGGAGAAGGAGGGTGACTCCATTTGTGGCTGACTCAAGGGGAGGCAGCCTCTGTTACTGCTCAGTGGCAAAGGTAGGAGCAGCTTCCATGAGGCTTCTGTCCTCAGCCTCTGCTGGTCCAGCAGCTCCAGTCTTCTGCTGAGACTGCAACTTACTTAAAACCAGAGGTGGCAGCCTCAGAGCCAGACATGGGTCTTCACTGGAGCAGTTGGAGGAAGAAGAGTTTTCCTAAACTTTACCCATGAAATCTCCCTGTCCTGGGCAGGATGAGAGATTAACCCAAGACAAAAAAGTCTCTTAAACTGGTATAGATTCTGTGCTTCTTCCCATTTCCTCCCAAACTGAGGTGGTAACCTAGCCAATCTAAATAGCCGCCACTGGTTTTTCTCGTTGGTGTCTTTTATTTGCTTCATAGCATCTTCAAAACATGTACTTATCTTATGTTTTATTTGTTCATCACCTGTTTTCCCAACCAGAATAAAAGCTCTCTGTCTTATTGACTGCTGTAACATCAGTGCTGAGTTCAGTGCCTCTGTATTATTTATTGAATGAATGTGTAAATGAATGAATAAAAAATCAATACACGTGTCCTTCAAAGTAGTAAGATGGATGATGCTAAACTTTTGGTGTGATACATATAATTGTCTTAAGGGAAAAATAATGGAAAATGAAAGATTAGGAGATTCAGTATATGGTAGGGTGGCCAGTTGACTTTCTTGATGGCTGTGATAGGGCAGCTGGTTTACAAATTCCAGAAGGGTATGGCACAGACATGGCCTCTTCAGCCAGTGGGTGGAAACCAAGTTTCCAGGGCATTAAGTCTGAAATGGAGGGGGTCAGTTAATCACATATGAATATAGGGCCCAACTAAAATGCTGCAGTAGCCAATATGTGCCTTCTGGATGAATGGCTATTACCTGACTCTCAACCACAGGCTTCATTTGGTCATTGTTTGACTCCAATTCACGGTGACCTCAGAGTTCCTTTGCTCAGGGACAGAGCAGGCAAAAAGCCACCTTGGAGCAGACAACTGGAGAGATCTTGAACAGCATGGTTTTGTAAAAAGACAACTAAGCTCAGCACAGGAGCCTCTCTCACTTGTGCCTCTTTTTGTATTCTTTGGACCATGCAGCTTGCAGAGCACATTCTGTTCCCAGGCTGCTGCAAATCAAGTAACAACTGGTGGATTCATCTCATTCTGTTCTCATCTCCTCCAAGTGCTCTGAGCAAAAATCGCCTTGCTCTAATCATTAGAAATTGTTGTAGAACTAAATAATTGCTTGTCCAATTCCACACTGTTTTCTCTGATATTTAATACGCCCCCAAGGATAAGGAGGCGGGTTGATAAGAGTTGTAGTTTACCAGAAAGGCCGTAGAAGATTTCAAACTGGGAAAGCCAGCCAGAGTCCAGGAGGGGACAAGAAGGATGAGTGAGGGTGCAGCCAACTTGAACAAAGATGAACTGGGTCTCGGAGGAGGCTGTATTCTCTAAAACCAACGTGGTTGTTTGGGACCTTTACCTCTTAGGTGCTTAGGAATGAAAACTATCAGCCAGCCTTTAGCAGTGTGGAGGGCTGCCTCATTCAGCTTTTAACCATGGTTCGGGTTGCTGATATACCTTCCATCTGAATCTAAGGGGGATGAGATGGGGAAACATCCAGAGAAGGTTTAATAGCCAATAAGGCTGTGCTCCCATCAGCCCCGTTTATCACATCATGTTTACTGGGAATGTCAGTCTAGTTAAAGCGACTCCTTGACTATGACTTACCCTGATTTCTCTGAAATCTACAGTCTGTAAACTGGCTAGGGTAAATCAATCACAATTCTTGGTAGGCTCTATGGGTAGCTACTCCAGACAACGATTATTTCATAAGGGTATATGTGATCATTTCAACTATCTCTTGTGATGACCATAAGTGAACTTAAAACAGAGTAGAAAAACTTAGTGTCAGAGTTGAAAGGAAAAACCTTCAAATTGAAGATTTCTGAATATAAATACTGGGAAGGGCTTATGAGAAAAATAACTGGTACCGCTTTTAAAAATAAGATAGACGTGCTACATGTGTGTTTTCAATGCCTTTTCATTCTCTGGAGGACTTAAGCCTCTTTGAGAATTTCTCAGAAAAACATGAGGTTCTTCCTAGAAAAGATGAGTCAGATTTTTTGGGGTGGGGGGTTGTTGAGAAACTCTGCCCTGATTTTAGTGTTGTGTATGTGAACCCCGTAACCAGGAAAATGAAGATGGTCAGGCATGAGCTGGGGAAGAACATCCAATAGAAGAACTCAGTACAACAGATGAAATATTATGGCTCACATCCTTCCCCATTGGCCTCATTCTTGGGACGGAGAAGCCATTCAGTGCAAACAATGCAGGATGAATAAATGAACATCTAGTTGCAGGGTAATTCCTAGCTGGAGGATCCCCTACATTACATTTAGATGAGGAGATGACCCATGGCAGAGGGAAAAGTATGACACTGTGACAGGGAAAGCTGTGGTTGGTGCTGAGCTTTGCTCTCTGGGAAGTTTTAGGATGCATTTCAGCTCCGAGATGGAATTTCAGCCCATGTCTCCATAATCCCTTTAGGGGACACATGGGCCGGCACTTGTTTATGTTGTGAGACGCTCACGGGAACACTTCTGTGGGGAACTGTGGTTCTCTGTCACAGCATTTGTTATTTGGAAAATTAAAGGGAACCCCTGCCCAGCCTTCCTTGGTGTGTGGAAACCCTTGGGTAGCAGAAATCAGGCTACCTGTCTGTGAATGGTCTCAGGTGAAAAAATGCACAAGGTTCCATAGGCAGAGGAAGCCAGCCTTGGAGTATATCTCACAAACCATTCAAGTACTTACTGAGAAATAATGGCCTGCTTAGTCCTATAACCTTCTCTGTCTTCATCTTTCCCCAGTGCCCCAAGATGCCATGTTTTGCTTTTAATCAGATAATATGTGATCTTAATTAGGACATGAATTGTGTTGACTTCTCTGTTCATAATGATTAGCATTTCAGGACATTTTTAGCACATCAAAAGGATATTCCCACCCCACCCCCCAGCCAAATGTTTATTGTCATATAGTAGCTAGTTAGTAGAATTTGACACTAGTAAAATACAATACGGAGAATTAGACACTTTCATATAAGCTGTATATTGCCACACCAGATTGGATGGAAAAAGGTTCCGTAGAATGAATGTGTGACTTGCGACTGCACGCGGTTCAACTTCTGTTGAATAAAGGATGCTGTGTTTTTATTAATTTCACATTTGAGTGATGACAGTGTGCTTGGTTCCATATGAAATCACAGGGCCACGTGCTTTTACACATCTGCCATAGTTTTCGTGAACTTTTAACTAATTACCCAACTGCTGTGGAGCCACCAATGTTAGTTCTCAGTGTGGAATTCATCCAACTTGGCTGCAATTGTATTCTACAGTTTTACTAACAAAACTCGGTCCAAATCTGCTAATTTCAGTACATTGGCATGAGGCAAATGATGGGGAATAATTGTTCTTTTTGACAACATATTGCTTAAATTTGAACCTAAAGATATTTGAACACACTTTTGGAGCATTTACCAATTTTCTAACGTGAACTGTATGATCTTTGAACAACGTGAGGATGATTATAGG